AGCACAACTGTACCTGATACTGAGTTAATTAAGTATCCAGTTCATCATAAGCTGATACATAATTGTATCGCTGAAACACTTATGGAAACCTCTCAAGACTCTTTAATTGAACCTTTTTTTCCAGGCTAACAACGGATTATGTCCTAGTAAGAATGACAGGAATCAAAATGCAAGGCAGAGAATATCAAACTGCATTTATTTTTTTCATTTTAATATCATTCATATTTGATTAGAACTAAGATTGACTATTAATTATAGTGGTGCATAAATAAAACAACTGATTTATTGTAGACATGCACAACTTTTCTCAAAATGATCCAGTAATATGCATCTACAGTCTGCATCTACTCCTTTGTTATGAAACATAAAATTCACAGCAATTCCAGTTAATGTTCTTTCTTGAAAGATGAAATCCATGGATTACCAGCAAGTCCTTAGTTTTCCCATTTGAACTGCTTTTTAAAGCGATTCCATCATAAAAACCTTCTCATGTTTGCTGCGATTGTGTTTATCCAGTTTTCAACGGTCAGCATTCATTTTCCGCAGCTTTGGTGGCAGATTGTCCTCTAGCCTGCCTCCAGCTGAGAGAAGAGGGCTGTGAATGGGCATTGGACTGGGTGACAGTGTAGTCGGTGGGCTGCGCTGGTACAGGTCTCCTGTTGATTGTGTCATGGGTTCAAATCCCACCTTGAGTGACTTGAGCTGCAGCCGATTTTGTGCTCCGGGACTGGGTGAGGAACTCAGCCTCTGCAGCTTCATAGGGAGGTCACCAGTGCTGCACGCCTTCTCTGTATGTTGGGAGCTGAGCAGAAGCACCTTTCTCTGCAGGTCCTCCTTACCTGATGAGCTCATTCTCTGCAGCTTGCTCGGCAATCGACTGCCAGCTCCTCCCTGACGGCCCCTCTCCTCTGAAGTATTGATGCAATCCACAGAAAACACTCGGTCATGTCTGACACCATGGCTCTCAGTCAGAGCAGGGGTGGGAGTAGACAGGGGTGAAGGCAATGAGTTTTTCTCGTCCTGCTCTTTGACACTGTATGGTGGTGTTGGTACCTCAAATGTGCTGTGAAACTGAGAGTAGTCCACTCTGAAAAAGCCTTCCTCCAGAGACATCACAGGCAGGAAGCGATGGCCCCATAATACTTCATCTTCAGTGTATGATGTCCGGGCTTGGCATGTCATACCTACAAAACACGGGTGGAGAAGTGCTTTTTATAATGACATCCAATAAATAAGGTCCAAATGAAACAGTCAGTAGCTTGTATTGAGGAATGCAAAAGAACAGAATTATGTCATTATTTTCTTCCTCAACCAGTTTTTATAAAAAAAAATAAATAAATCAGGACCAATTCTCCAGCCACAATTCAAATTAAGCCCATGAAAACATTAAAACAAGCCCTTTTTAAATCAAAAGCTTTATTCATGTACTTTAACAATGCCTAATTAGTCATAAAGCATGTCTAATGTATTGAAAAAAACAAAGATGATTTTGTAAGAAACCAAGGCTTTGTCTATACAGTTATTTAAGTAAAATCTCTGTGCAGAAGCATTGTGAGATTACCAATTCCTCTGCTGCCAGTGTACCTTAGAGTTGTGATAAAAATATGAGTTGTGATGACAGCCAATAAAAACCTGAATAACTTTAATCAGAAATCAGTCGCTTTTGCTCATCAGGGGTTTTGAAAATATGTCTTCTTCTATAGTTTTGTTCTTAGCAGCAGCCCTACTAAGGCTTCATCTATCATTTCATTTGTGGTAAAAAAAAGATAACGGAGCTAAAATATTAAAGTTTTATTTAACTCCCTACTGAGTAAACTAAAAAAGGTTTCCAATAAAGTTTTTAGTTTATCCTGAGAAATGCAGAGGTGAGTTTTACTAACCAGACGTAATTTCTGATAAAGCCTAAACATCTGCTTGTAGATAGAGTGCACCCTCAAGTCACAGATAAACTTCTTGACCAGGAGGAGAAATTTAATCTGTTTCAGGTTCTGCTGTGATTTGAAGATGGAATAATTTAGTAACACCTCAACTATTATACACAAAACAAATCAGACCTTTATGGACCGATTTGGCAAAAAAAAAAAAAATCCAATCTTTAAGAGTTAACCAAAAAAGTTCTGCCTTCAGTTTACCCAAAGCTAAGGAGGGCTAAAGTTGCTCTGGTCAGAGTAGACTAACACTGATCTTTCTAGAATGCATGCAAATGGCTAAGGAAGGTAGAAATCTGACATTATAACACCCTGCTTAACCAAACATCCCCATTCTAAAACACGGTTGTAGCAGCATCATGCTGTGGTGACAGTTTCTTCGTTAGGGACCAGAGGCTGACAGGAATTGACAGGAAGATGGAGGCAGCCATAGAGAACATGTTAGACACGGGGGCAGAGTTTCACCATCCAGCAGGACACTGACCTTTAACATTCAGTCATACAATGATTTATATTATACTATAATAGTGTGTTAATGTGGCTCATTAAAAACTCAGACCTAATAACAGAAATGTTCATCTGTGCATCTCCATAAAGCTGTTGGAGAAATACTATAGTCATAATAGAAAGTCTTCTACCTTTAATTCCAGCATTCACTCACATAGGCAGGCAAAGCTTTTCAGATTTTCATTTCGTACAAAATTTTAGAAATCTATTAATAATTTTTCTTTCAGACCATGATCATGACGAACTTTTTATGCTCTATCACTTCACTAATTAAAAATAAGTAAATGCAGTTTGTGCTTTTTATGTGAAAAATCTGCAAAAGCTAAACGGTCATCAACTCTTTAGCAGGTCACTCCTCATCTGCTCGGTTACATAAAGTCCAGGAAAGTTTTTTTTGTTTGTTTGTTTTTCAAGTCCAGGAAAGTATTAAACCACTTTGATTAATTTATGTTTTATAATAAATAAACCTAAACTTCTTTTAATCTTTAGTGGTTTTGTAGTTACGACGTTTTATTTTAGAAAATAGTGTTTATTACTCTGTAATAAAAACAATGCCAGCATACTGTACAAATTGTTCTTAAAAATAAGTTAAGTGGACGAGATATTTTACAGCAGGTTAGCAGGTGCTGAGAATTACACATCAAGGCAAAAAACATCTAGTGAATATCAAGTTTTCTCCTTGATGGATGGGAGGGCTCATGTACAAGAGCTGGAAGTTCTGTTTTATTTACAAGTACAATTTTTTGAAGGTCTCTGTGATCAATATGTACAAAGCTGTAATTTGTGTGGCACAGTCTGAGCTTGTCTTAAACACTACTGCTGGATGAAGAGTAGGAGTACTATTTCGTCGAGGGATAAAGGGAGCAGCGTTATATCATGGCCTCATGCTATTCCCGGCTCGCCACACTTCTTCATCTACCAAAACCATTTAGCAGACCAACATCACCTCAGAGGTCACTTTTTTTAAAAGTACTTTAGCCTAGAGCCTTAGTTCTCATTAAAATGATGGATTCGGTGTGAATTGTCAAGCATTTTCCTTCTATTAAATGAGGGCTTTTTTGGGGGGGGGAGTTTTTTTATTTTTTTATTTTATTTTGTCAATACTCACAAAAGAAGCAATACCAGAGTACATGGGTTTTGTGGGTTTTGTGCCTGACGGGCATCTATGGGCATCCACCCACCTGGATGCTGTTTGCTGCATCTTGCATAAAAAGAAAAGCCCCTAGCAAAACAAACACTTGGCAGACAGCAAGCAGGACATCCCAGAAGGAGTTTTTTTTTTTTTTGAACATTTCTGGCAGAAGCTTTCATAGAATCTTAGCAATGGGAGGCATGAACCAAGTTTCCGATGAGCCTCTGACAGGCTCAAGTTTTCAAGCTGTTCAACTGGCAATTTATGCTGAGACTTGAGTTGCTAATTTTAGTTTTATTTAATTCTGCTGTTTATGTTACATTCATTAATTTATTTTTTTTGGTAATTGTTTTAATTAAATCTATTGTCTCATGGTTCTAACACAAGTTCTTTGTTTACCATCTTTTTCTGGTAAGTAAAGATACAGGTACCTCTTAAAATATAATAAGATATATTTCAAAACAGTATCTGTTTCATTTACAAAATAATAATATTAATAGTAGTAAAAATTATGTATAACTTTCTCAATAAACTATAAATAATTTCTGACCAGTATTTTGCATATTGCCTGCGGTATATATTAAAATATTTTTGTTGATGAACCAAGGCTTTATGTTTGGTAGACTTCCCTGTCATCACTCTAATATTTTGTGCTGTTCAAAGATTCTTAATCAAACTGAAAAGAGAAAAAAAAAGAAATAATACTGCAATTTATTTTAGAAAAATACTTAAAGGTATAGTGGTGGATTTTTGTGAATTTTTGAAAAGACCTGCTCTCTCCACGTTAAAAAAATAAACACATTCAGAACCCTGTAGCCGCTCCTGAGAGGGATCGCCTATAAAACTTATGCGAGAGCATGCAGGAACCCATTTCTCCTCGTGCATGCTCTGTTTAAAAGTTGCTGTTTGCATTGCTCATACAAGCTTACTTTTCAAAAGAAAATTTACAATGTTTCCACTATGTCAGACTCACCACCTGTAAGTGAAAATGGAGTGGAGCACATAGGACGGCTTTATCACCAGCTTATCACCAGAATAACTGACAATTATTTTGATGATCCACCCGGAACACGAACATATACTATACCTTTAACTGGTTTCATAAGGAAAATTAAACTTACTGGACCACTCCAAAGTACTTTTACTTTCAGTTAGAGGAGACTGGTTGCTACAATGTTAAGGTTATTTAAAATGTAAACTGCCTTGAATATTTATCATTTTGAAATGTATATGCATTAGTAGTTCTCACTGGGTTGATTTTTTTCTCATTCTGTGTATTTGAGGATAATGATCTTGTGTTCTATCTTTTCATTATTTGTGGAATTAATGCTCGAGTGTAGTCACAAAGAAAAAAAAAATTTCCCCAAACGTGTTTTTTCTAGGTTTAGAAGAACATGAAGATGTGTGAGTAGCAGCTGTGCACAAATTCTTGTGTAGGTGTTGAAGTTGGAGCAGTTTCTTTCTTTTAATTCCTTACATGAACCACAAAGCTAATCATCTGGCTGTACCCAGATTAATGGTGTTATAAGATCAGTGACTGGGCAGCTGCTTTTCTGCAGATCCTTTCCTCCTCTTTCCTTCTAAGCTTGTTCAGTCTATTCTACAACAGGGACAGAGTGAAACATATGAGGGACAGATAGACAGAGCTGAAGAGGAAAAAAGCAGATAAATGTATTTGCATTGGACTGTAGGGAAGATTCACTCTGTTAAATATTCAACATGTAGATCAGCGTTGCTTCTGAGGATTTTCTCTGCATTTAGCAGGCTGTACACCAACTCCTGCTTATAAACTCTCATCAGAGAAATGCAGCAGAACCACAAAACTCAACACATTCATCAGAGTGACACACACTACTGTGACCACAGGCATTTATTATGCATAGAGGGGGCTTAAACTGATTATGGAGTTAGAAAATATTCTGCTTAATTCAATCAGGCACTCATCCACGTGTTATTCTTTCTCTCTCTACACGAATCTTTTTTTAATATGCAAAACAAAAAAAGATGTTAATGTTTACATTTGAACTCTTTGTAGAAAAAGTGAAGATAGGAAGAAATGGGTATAGCTTTCTCACCAGTGGTCTCCACGATGCCCTCAAGGATAACGACAATCTCAAATTGTTCGTTCATGAGAGAGCGCTGTGATAAGTCAAAAAACGGGCTCTTGGGATTGATTTCATGGCAGATTGTGAGAGGGGACACCAGGAAAAGCTGGTCTGCACCCGTCCCAAACCCAACATCCAGCTCACACTGGTCCAGTGGCAGGAATTCTCCTTCGGGTGTCTGACGAGACTGGAGGAAAAGAATAAGGAACAAGTAGAAGAAGAAAATAAAAGGCTTAATGGAGAAATTAAGAAGCATGATTATTAGGCACATTTTTTCACCTAGTGAGTCATAAGTAGGGATGTTCGGATTTTAAGAAAAACACAAAGGAACTATTTTTATAGATTACATTTGAATGTTTAAACACGCCATTTGTATTAGAAATGATTTAAGTCTATAGTCAGAAAAGAACTCTATGAAGAGTGTTCAACATTTTAAATTTGAACACATGCACAACAATGATAAATGTATCATTGATTTTGATAGCTGAGAGTCAGGATTATTAGAATGTAGCAGGAATGTCCAACAATGACAACAAAAAGAAAAAAAAATCCTTCCTGAATTATCTGATGCTTCAGCAAGTGCCTGATAACACTTTTACTCTCCTTCCCTTATCAATATGCCTTACTAGCAGTGGCGGTTCTAGAATATTTTCATAGGGTTGGTCAGGCAGGAACCAAAGTGAAATGATGGGTGGCAAAAACTAATAGGCACCAAAACATTTTATGGTCAATCTGTGCTTAACACAATAAACCAACATGAAAATAAATGTGCACATCTATATTTTCCAATTAACCACTGAAGAGAGACCAGATTTTCTTGAGTCTAGCTAAAGAACAGATACAGATAAAGAACAGGACATATTTATACATCTGTGCTATATAAATGAACTTGTGGGCTCAATAATATAAACATTAAATGGGTTGAGCAGTTTTTTCTTTTATCTTTAATTACATAGTAGAGCCACAGATGACCACAACAATAAACTTTCATTAATAAACTAAAGATTAATACATAAACGGGGCTGTGGTCTGTGCCGTTGAAGAAGGGGGTGACTCTCCTGGGGGTGGGTCTGGGGTGGTGTTTGGGGCTGTGTGCCTCTTAACTCTAGAGGGATTGGCCCCTGGACCCAGGAGGATAGTCTATGCATGAAGAGTGAAAGAATATGTTTAGTATCTGCCTGTGTGCATGCCCATGCATTTGGTTCCAGGTGTTCATTGATACACACTTATACTAAATACTAAGCTGCAGCTATAGATATATACCACCCTGATTAATATTGTGTAATAACCATAGGGTTTGCATCCACACACATGGATATTTAAGTGACACCTGCTGCTCATTAAACTTTTTTTTCATGTTTACTTTTGTTGTCTTTTGTCTTCTTTTTGCTGTTGCTATGTTCTCTTTTCAGACCCTAAAGGCATGGGAGCAGACTTCTAGGAGTTACTGTATATCTTCTGTGTTATTTTGTATTTTTCTCTTTTTCATGCGCTCATAACTTCCTCTATCTCTTTCTTTCTCCCTTTAGTTTGTACCCCCTCTTACTTTCTCACCTCCGTTTCGTCTTTGTGTCTATTGTATATGATTTTACTCCCTAAATAATTTTCAATCAAGTTTCATATACAAGTACCAAGCGGAAGCGTTATAATGGTCTGCTTGTGAAAGCAAAGCTGTTGGGCTATCATGTCTGAAATATCTATTCCCAGACTTATGTTGGCAAAACAGGACACAAAAAAACCCAATTTTTTTTGTTTTAACCATAAAGTGTTCATGAATGCACGCAGGACCCATCCTCCTACGCACAAATCTCCACCTCTGCATGGCTCACAGCTTCTTTATTTTCTCCCACATAACTATACATTCATCCCATCTCTGCTGCCTTCTAAACTATGGGGAAGTATTTATTCATGCACATAAGTGTTTTAACATTCCTTAGAGATTTTGGTCCAGAAAGACACAATGGCATCATAATTATAACACCAATAAACACTAATACTTTTGGTTCTAAATCCATGACATAAATCTCCTATTCCACTAAACCTCAAGAGTTCATTGAGAGCTACTGACGACAAAGACTCTTGGAAGACTGTGAGCACGTCGTAATAAAAAAAACTGTTTAGAAAAAGACCTGATCGAGAAAATATACTTATTTATGCTCATACAGGTAAACAAAAAGTGGTATCAATGCACTCATAGCTGGTGTTAGTGCAGGTCTCATTCTCCTTGCACAGCTTAATGCTTCCTGCAGCCATATTACTCAGAACCCACTATCACTCTGACCTCCAGGGGGTTTCACTCTGCACTGTGTCCATCTGAGACAAAATTGTGGAAAAGATGTGAGTAAACAGGCTTTGAATTGCCAGAAAACCCAGTTTTTTTCCTTTTTCCTGTGCATTTCAGAAACCCCTGTATTTATCAGGGAAGGCCTTTGATGCTGCCACTGAGAGTACTCGAATGTTTGGCCCTTCCAGGCTGCTGAATCCTGTTTAGAATCATTCCCTTCTTGATGGAAAGGTCTGGATAGCTCTGGGAAGTTCTGCATTTTACTTTCTGTGTTTGTCACTTAAGATTTAGAAGATGGATGACGGTAGGCAAAGACTGACAGTTGAATGCCCGAACACAGGGACTCCTTGGCAATCTGCTACACTCTTCCTTTCACAAAGATAGTTGAGTTTGTCCACTCTTGTTCTTTTTTTTTTTTGTTGAAAATTAACGTAGTGTTCTAGCATATTAATAGATTTCCATACTAAAGGTCACAGGGCCTTACCACACTTTTTATTCTTTTTATTTGATGTTTTAGGCAAATGGCAAAAAAGCAGTATAGCAGAAAATAGAAATATACAGCATTAGGTTCTTCTTTAAACTCATAAAAGACTGGTGATGATTTGATTTAGGCCCCTTAAATGAACTTGGGTGCTTAAGTCACCTACTATGACCATACAAAGTTCCACGCCAGAAACTTAGTCAGCCTGTATTCTAATTAAATACTGTAACAAGATTACATAACCAAATGTACAATACTGTTGATTTGTGCAATGAGTAAATGGGGAGGTAATGAGCCGAGCAACTCAAGGGTAAAGGCACTCATTGGCTACCCCTGTGGATAATGAGTTCCAATAATGAGGTAATTCACCACCTCCATAACAAGCAACTCTCCTCTTAACCTAAGTGTGGCAGCAGCGCTACTCTTGATTGGAACTTTCTAAATAATGTGACAATTTAATTGTTTGTGTATTAACCATTAACTAAAAGCTTCTCCCAGATTCATGAGGAAGCTGGGATTTTCAGGATGAAGCTGGGACATGGAGTCAGACTGGACCATGTTCCCTGCCTCGATTGTCGATGCAGATGCCCGTATCTGTGACCATAGGATTGCTCTGTCTCTCATGGCAGCAACCCCCGAACCTGGTTGAGGATACCAGCAGTAAGGAATGTTGTCAAGCTGAAGAAGAAGTCCTGTTGAGCATGGTTGGCCTTTAGAACTCTTGAGGCAGCAAGCAGGTATCTTGAGGCCAAGAGTAATGCGGAGGCCAAAACTCAGATCTGCAAGCAGTTTGGATAGACCACAGAGAAATACTATCGGCCAGCCTTAAAGCAATTCTGACAAACAGTCCACCACCTGTGGAGGGAACATTGTCACACAGTGTAAGGAATACTTTAAAGATCTCATTAACCCAGCTACCATGTATTCGATGGCGAAAGAAGACACTGTACTCAGGGCTGGATTTGTTCAGTACCCAGGCTGAACTCACCGAGATGGTAAAAGAAAACTCCATGGAGGCAAGGCTTTGAAAGTGGATGATATTTGTCTTGAGTGTTAGGACTCCAGTCTGTGTGGTCTGTGTGTTTGTCTTTCTTCCTCCACCAGGAGGTGCCTGGTTCTGATTCTCCTCCTCACACACCTGCAAGGGGTTACCTCGTTAACGGAGTGTTCTTAAGCTGCTGACTGCCACTACCTCGACGCCAGAGTTTTTGCCAGTTTTGGGAAGTCATCCTGCAAACTGGAATTTTCGGACCTTCTCTCCCTGGAAGGATCAACTGAGCTTCAAACTGAGCTGAGGAAAAAAAACGGAGGTTTGGATCCACTTTGAAAATGACCATTAGAACCTGAGGATCAGTAAAGGCTGACTTATACTTCGAAACTAGGTCATCTGCGTAGGTGTCGCAGTGCACAAATAGACGTCCCCGCCCCCTCCGCAGACACTCTGCACCTCTCCTAAATTGTAGGTGACTGCAGACAGTGCCAAAGACAGAAGGCATGCTTGTTTTGTTTGTATGACCACAATTGCGGAAAACAACTCTTGAAGATGGACCAGCTAAAAGAGCGAGGTGTCCGAGAATGCTGGGACCCTTTTTCCACCTGGATCCTTGTTCTTTTTCGCCCTCATGTCCCTCCGTTGTCAGAAAAACTCGCCCCCACTTCCTCGCCGCCTCAGTCGTAACTGGACCAGCAGCTAGTTCTTGATTCTCTTGAGTATAAATCAAAAATGTCTGCGTCAAGCTCACTGGGACACACTGCTGCGGGGAGTATAACCAGCCCTTAAGTGTGCTCCAACTATAGAAAGATCACACTTCTTAGCCTGCCTGGAGGAGCCTATGTCTGGGTCCTGCAGATGAGAGTCAGACTTATTGTCGAACCCATTGCTTTCAAAACAAGCTGTGTGGTTTTCATCCTGGGTGTGGAACACTGGACCAGCTCTATGTCCTCTGCTGGATACTCGAAGATGGGAGTTTGACTAATAGGTCCACATGTGTTTTCTTGGCCTGGAGAAGGTATTTGACCATTTCCCTCATGGCGCCCTATGGGGGACACTTCAGGAGTACAGAGTTGGGGGCCCTTTGATGGGGGAAATCAGGTCTTTCTTTAAGCGGAGCAAGAATTTGGTCCGCATTTCCAGCATTAAGACAGACGTGTTCCCAGTGCATGTTGGACTCTGACAGGGCCAGACTATGTTACCAATCCAGTTCACAATCTTTATAGACAGGATTTCTGGGCACAGCCAAGGACCAGAGGGGGTGTGGTTTGGTAGCAGATTTAGTCCCTGCTTTTTGCAAATGACTAGTTCTGCTGGCTACCTCATGCTAAGACCTACCACATGCATCAGGGCAGTTGCAGCTGAATGGGAATTGGCCGGAATGAGAATCAGCTCCACCAAGTCCGAGGCTATGGTTCATGACTGGAAAAA